TTTTTTTTTATAAAAAGCGCTATATTATAAAATATATTGAATTTTATTTTATATCATTATTAAGTATTAATATAAGCTTTTATAACGACTTTTCGAAAAGAGTAAATATATCGTTCTCGTTAATTTTATTATTAATTTTAAAAAAAGCTTTATATCGTTAAAACGATAAATAAATAAATTTAATAACGTTCTAAAGCTTATTAATAAGGCACTTAATATACTAAAAGTTAAGATCTTCTTAAAATTACTTAGCGTTAATTAATATATTTAATTTTTATTTAAATACCTTTTTATTATTATTAAATAAAAAGGCTTTACCGATAAGGTTAAAAATATAACCGTAGTACTTAATCTTTTAATTAAGAATATTTTTTTAAATATAAATATAAAATAATATAGGATATAAATAACTTAAGTAAGTGTCGTTATTTAAAGTATTATTATAAATAATTACTTCGATTTAATCGCTTAATTCCTAGTTATTTATTATAAATTTTATAATTTAAATAACGTACATACATAGCGAGTCGCCCATCATAGCGAGTCGCCCACTTCTAAATACCCTTTTACTATTTATATAAGTCAATTAAACTATATCGTATAAAATTAATTAAAACTATTTATCAGCCTCTTCTTTAAAAGTCTTTTAAATTATTTAATATATTCGTATATTATATTTAATTTTTCTATAATTACCGTATTACTACCTACGCGATTTAACCCCCTTTGTATAAATATTTTTTTAATATATATTTTCGTTTTTAATATTAATAACCCCCTTTTTTATTTAGATTACTTTAGCCTTAATAATATTAAATAAGCTTTTAAAACGTAGTTATATTTTTTTAACCCTCCGGCGCTTATTTAATATCTTATTTATTATACAAAGCCTACGGTACTTAATTTTAATAAAAGCTAATTTATATATTAATTTATTAATACCTTTAGCTTATAAATTAACAACTTCGTATAAATATATTAATAAATTATATTAATAGCTATAAATCCGTTTCTTAAATAAAATAAAGCTTCGTACGGCGTTATATATTATAATTAATATCTTTAGGTCTTAAAAGCCTTAGCTACTTAGGCGTAAATTAAATAGTATTAGCGTTTTTAATTTAAAATCTAAACGGGAAATAACTATTTCTAAGTTAAAAAGTATAATTTTAGCCTATTTAAAACTAACTTATACGTTTTTTTCGCTTATTAAAATAAAAAAGGCTATTTTAAAAATAAAAAAAAAGTCGTCTTTAATAATATATGTAATTTATATTTATATTATTTTCTTAATTTCTTTACTATATAAAGCCTTTAATAAACTAAAATAATTAATATTAAAAAGCTAAAGCTTATACGATAAATAAAGAGGTATATAAAAAGTAATAATACTACGCTCCTTATAATAATTATTAAATTTAATCGATTTATAATTATTATAGTTATTAAAAATTAAGAACCGCTTAATACCCTTTATATAAGATTTTATATATTTTTTAAAATATTTTAACTAATCTAAGCCGATCTTATTTATAATTTATTTATTTTTGCTAAGGTAAATACGCTATTTAGAAAGGAATTAACTATTAATATACTACGAAAAAAGGTAATATTTACTTTTTATAATAATATATAGAGGTAGCGCCCAGTTATCTATATATATACTTTAAATAATAAAAACTTATTCTCGATTACTAAGCTACTTTATATAAGGCCTTTTATAATAATTAAAAGTTATAATAACCTTTATATACAAAAATATTCCTATTAAAAAGCCCGTTTTATTAAAATTATAAATATTATAATCGTATATTCCGTACTTCGTAATTATATTTTATATAAAAATAAACTAAGCTTAGATAATTATAAAATCTTTAGTTAATACCTTTTAATAATCGATTCTATGTCGAAAACGCGTTTTTAATTATAATTAACGTCGTATAAAGTTCTTTATTTATCGCAATCCGATACGCGTTGCGTCGCGTTTAGTAAAAAAATAATTAGTTATATTTTATACGTTGTTAAATCGTAGTAGAAATCCTTAATTAATTAAGTTAATAATTTATTTAAAAATCACGGTTTCTTTTAAAAAAATTATTTTTTTTAAATTTATATAAGTTTTATATCGAAATAATAAGCTAGCGCGTCGGTCGCGAAGTATTATTTTTAAAATATTATAAATAAAAGCTACTTTTTATACGGATAAATTTAGGTCTTTTTTAATAACTTAAAATATAAAAATAATACGACTTTTATTTAAAAAAGAATTTATAATCGTATATAAAGAAAAATAGTTATTAAAATAGAAGGTATAGAAAGAAAAGAAAATAAGCGACTCGCTATAATAAGCGACTCGCTATGTATATACGTTAATATTAATTTTATTATAAATACTATATTAACGTTATAAAATAATAAGGTATTATATTTATTATTTAATATAATTTAAAAAATAAATAAAAACGGCGATAATAATATTCCGCGTTAGTGAGGTTTATAAATTAAATAATAAATAGACTTTTATTATTAACCTCCGGATTTCTATTTTAATTATATTTTTCTTTTTAATAAAGATCTTATTTAGCTCTTTTTTTATATTTCTATATAATAATAAGAGTTCGTTAATAGTATTATAATTTAATTAATAAAAAAAAGCCCGGAAATAAAGATCTTAAAAAGTTATAAATAAGCTATTATTATTAATAATATATCTAATTATTAACTTTTCGATTCTCGTTACTTAGCCCTTTGTAATAATATTAAAAATAAATTTCCGTCTTTTCAATATAAAATCGTATTTTAAAGATTTTAATAAATATAATAATTTATTAAAATTCAGATTTATTATTTAATATTTTAATTTTAAATAAACTATCGCTAAGCTTATAACTATTATTTTAAAATAAATAATAATATTTATTTTATTATAATAATAATAAAATTAAAAAATTTCGCTTCGATTATTTTTATTATAAATTTTTTAAATAAAGACCTTTTTTAAACGGATTTACGATTTCCTTAGCTTTATATTTTTTTATAATATTAAATCGTTGTTTATAAAAGTTTTTTTTTTAAATTATTTTTAAAAAAGCGAGGAGGTTATCGTAAGTATTAAAGTCGGTCGATAATATAAAATTAACATTTATTAAAGCTTATAATTACGAAGTAATCCGAAGCGGCTATAATATATTAAAAATCGTGCGACTTATTATTAATTAATTAATTATAATATAACGAATCGATTAATATATAATTTAATTAATTTTAATAATAATTATAATAGTTGTAAAAGATTAAAAATAGTAATATATAACTTCGTTAGTTTTATTAATATTAAAAAAAGGGGGTATTAATTAATTAAAGAGGTTTTTTTTAAATCTTAAATATTAAAAGGTATTAAATCTAACGCTATATATTATTTAGGCTTTTTTTTTTTAATAATAATTATTAATAATATTTTATATAATTAAATAATATAATACCTTATTTATAACCGTAAATAAAGAGTTATAAATTCGAATCTTATTATAAGAGTTTATATTATTTATAATAAATTTAATAGTTTATTTAAGTAATATATATTTTTAATTAACCCGGCCTCGGATTTTCTTTTTTCCAGGCGATCTCTATTTAATTAAATAGGTTAAATATAAGGCCTCACGATATTTAATTATTTGATTTGCTAAAATCTTTATATTTGATTGTTTGTTTGACTTATTTGTTTGATTGATTTGAATGGGTAGGTGCGGTCACCGCACACAAATTACCAGGCAGTGTACCAGTTACTGGCCAATGTCCTGCTGGAATCAGTGGTGATGGCCAACCGCGTCCTTGGGTTCTACTTTCTAATGTAATTGTGAGCGAGCTTCCATATTGGCTGCAGGTCAGCGCGTGGTGCTATCTCGTGGTCGTTGTGTCGAGTCAACAAAAGGCAGACCATGAATGATCATGTACAATGTTCCCGTAACAGAAGCAACTCCAGCTCCTCCTTGTCTGAAGGAATTCACCTTCTTATGTACCATGAGCCGTGTTATCTTTCTAGCAATTCATGCGAAAACTTGACACGGAAGACCGAACAGCCACCTCATATGTCAGAGTTTGTCCCAAGTCTCAGGCATGCGCAACCGCTTCATCTGAACTGCCACACGTCAGAATTCAAGTTCCGTGTGTAGTTTTAACCTCGCACCTGGGTCCGATTGGCGAAGCTATCAACTTGTGCTCACTTGGCGTAAAACTCTCCCCCATAACACATGGATGAACCCACCAATAGTCGGAGGAAGCTAGGACGGAAGCTTATTTTCTCAACATTGCTGACGTCCTTGATTGTTTCATAGAGGAAAGCTGCGATGGTCCCCTCGTGTCAAGGGCATGGGGGCATGGTACAGCGTGAAAGAGTTGTTGGCAGTCTGCTCGACAGGTAAGGCCTGCAGATTAAGATAATTTTCCCCCCGCTCTTGGAGTACGAGCTTTGGCAGCGGATCAAATTCGTTCAGTACAAGAGGTAACTACTATCATTTCACGGCTACTAGAAAGACCGCCGCCCTTTCCCGGCGTTCCGGTATAGCCTTCAAGCCATTGATGCGAATCCCAGATCAGCGTGGCGGCAGTTTGCCTTGATTGACCCATGGTCATGATATCGCCCACAGTCCAGCATTTCAGAGACCGTCACAATGGATGACTCTTTAAGTGTTCCAATGGGTAAACCCTGGTGATAAGATAAATTTACAGTCTCTCTGGGTACACCTCTGATAAGTATTCCGGTGTGTGTAGTACTTCTTAACCGCGAACAGTTGTGAAGAATGCCAAGTTACTCTATACCAATGAAAACTAAACAACGGCTGCCGCTTTACAAAGCAAGAAGCAACTGGTAAGCATGTGTCTCAAACCATACATGTAAGTAGATTAGAAACAGCATTGGTCTAGATCACCCAAATCCAACAGTCTTGATTCATGTTTCTAAGCCCAAGACTCTGTTACCAAGGACGCGATGATCCCATAACTCACGCCTCCGGCTTCCTCCCCCTCGCCAACAAAACAGTCCTCTCAACCTCAAAAGGCATCCCCTGATACTTCTCCTCCATAAAAGCCCTCAACGTCGGCATCAACCGCCCCTTCAACCCCTCCCTCTGCGCCTTCGTCCAGAACCTCTCCATGACCCCGTGCATGAAGGCCTGGAAGACGGTGCACCACTGGTCGACCCCGGAAAACGGCACCCACTTGGTCACAACGTCCACCTCCACGTCCACGAACCCGGCCGCCGTGAACATGCTCTTGACGAACGAGGGGGATTCCCACGCGCCAGGTCCCCAGGCCGACGTCAGCTCGATGGACGACTGCGGCCACGAGACGGGCTGTTGGCCTGGCAGGGCGAGGTGCGCTACCGCATCGCGGGTGTCGGGGATCCAGCCCTCTGTTACCCAGGTTGAAGTCGCGACTGTGCCGCCGGGTTTGGTGACGCGGAAGCATTCTGTTTTCAACGTCTCAGCCTTTCTTTCAGAACCGGTCAACCTTGGGAGGGAGGGATTTACCACTGAGAGAAATGTACGGATCGGATATGAGCATCAGAGCCATAGCGACGATGACAACGTCGAACTGGTCCGAAGGGAACGACATGTTCTGCCTCGGTTAGCACCTAGATCTCCCCCAGTTCAAAAAGAAGTGCATTGAAAAACAAAAAAATGGGCACAGGACACGAAATGGATAAAACTTACCATGATATCGGCCTGCTTAATCTCGCTCCCAACCCACCCCTCCCTCTCAACCTTCTCCTTTACGACTCCCAACTGGGCCTCGCTCGAATCCGCACTCGTCAACCGCACCCTACCTCTCTGTGCCCCCGGCAACTCCCTCATCATCTTTTGGATGTAGGACGACACCACCCCCGTGCCGCAGCACATATCCATGACCTCGACCACCTTTGTACTAGAAGATGACACCATCTGGCACAGCTGCGCGTAATCGACGAGGCACGGGGTCACGGGGAACGTGAGGTGCTCTGCGTGGCGGTAAATGTTGCCGGCCTCTCGATTACGCCAAAAGTCGGTGAGGTTGGCCTCGTCGCCCGAGGCGTTTAAAAATTCCGAAGTGGTCAGGTTGGAGACGACGGCGGTTGTAGTAGGGTCCTTGATGATGGGCTTATTGTTCTTGGTGGGATCAGGGCCCAGGTGAAGGGTGGTCGGGGTGCTGATGAGGGAAGACATGTTGTAGAGTATTGGTGATGGAAGATCGAACACAGTAGCTGGTGAAGTTGGGTGAAGGTTGGTGTTTCTACGCGTGTTTATAAGTAGTAATTTTGAAGACCTGGTGAGTTTGAGGACCACAAATTGCTGGGGAAGAGGACTGTCAGTGGCTCTTTTATAGAAACCTCTCAATTACAAGCTCAGAAGCCTCTTGACCAAGTCCTTTGGGTTCCCTCACCTGCACCAAAAAGGCATACGATGAGGCTTCCAAGTTCCGCGGACAAACAAACCCACCACCATTCTGTCAATCAAGGGGAATTTAGGATTTCCCCATTCAAATGAACGATTCCAAAAAGTCTTTTTTTTGGTATCGGGCTTCATGCCGAATATGCGGTTGGGTGTATGAGTGAAACGAGGCAGACGGCGCGGCCACCCATGATCCCACGACCGGCGGTGTCATCAAAACTCTGGGAATAATGACGCACCCAGGTTTGAGATTTAAGATTGAGCAGAAACTGTGGAAAGCCCCATCTGCTCAAGCTTCCCCGCCTTTCCAGTGAGATCGTCCCGTTTTGGGCAAAAACCTTCGGGAGAGCTCTTGACTGCCACTCCCTTTCCCAAAGTTTGGACCGCCCGCTCGGTCGCTTTTGCTCAACGTCACCATATAGGAATTATGTCGAGGCTTAAAGAGACTAACGGACTATCCGGGTGATGACGCCGTTCTGTCCTGTATGAGTTAGTAAATTGCGACTCTAATCATCCATTGTCCGTTCTTATACAAAATATACGTAGGATAGCTTGAATATGGTATTTCTCTTAGAGTCTCGCTCACTCTCAATATGTCAAAACCAAGAGAAGCTCCTCGACAGGCACACCTTCCATAAACAACACAGGCGAGATGGAATTAATTGTCAGCCCCCATCCAATACTTCATCTCAGCCCTTGACAACCCTATACTGTCATTCTCCCCTGGCCTGACGCACTACCTAAGCAAAGCACGTCAAAGCCTCGTCCCTCGATAGGCCAGGCTTCTGTGTAACACAGAACCTAGAGTCTAGGTCGACCTACCCAGACTAGGTAACCATCTCATATACCTCCCCTCCCGCCAGTCCGTAACCCTAGTAGTTGTTTCCACCCAATTTTCAACATTCGGCGCGGGAAAAGATAAAGCTATACCCCACCATTCCGATCTCTCTTTGAAAGAAACCAGGATTGTAAAGTCCGGCTAGGCAAAACCTTGGTCAAGCTCTTTCACCACAATTTGATTAAACACGGTACCTACTCCCACTGGTTGCGGCTGCATCTTTCACAACTTCTCACATCAGATCCGCCAGCGGCGGGCCAGCCAGCCAGCTCCCCTCGCCCCTCCCATCGGCATCCCAGAGTGCTTCCCAAGCTCCGACGCTTTCTCTCCCAATCCGTGATTGGGGCGTTGGACGCCGAAGCGGCGTGACAGATCGCAACCCCGCGGATACCCGTATAGCATGCCACCCCAACGCGCCGAGGAGGACAGGGGCGGGCTCCCTGCACACGGCAAATATATACCTATGGTCCAGTGTGGGATCTTTATTTAGCTAAATCAAGCCACTTCCTATTATATTTACCTTCCCGTTCCATACCTCGCATTCTGATACAATGCGAATATGAATGGTGGCATATCCAAAACTATCGCGGCGTTTGGACCACGGAACGGTCGTTGCGTAGGAAGCGGTATCCGGTGGCAGTGTGCTGGGCAACGCCACGTGTGGCGTTGCGATACATTAACTTGTACCTACTCATCTTTCATGTCTTCCCATGTCCAGCAACTCAATTCATCGTCCTCGCGCGGACTACCAGCTTGGTATTCATCCCACTCATCTCTAGTCCCAAACCCGTTTGCCTCAAAAGCTTGTGGTTGGCGGCCACTCGAGGACCACGTGGCCAAAACTATCGCGGGCCCAGCGACCTAGAACGCGGGACAGACGGCTCGCTGCACCTTGCATCCGGTGGTGGTCAACTCAAAAGCATTCCATTACTTCATATCGCATCCCAGAACGTGCGTAAATGTACAGTGCCCGTTTAAAATAACCCAGCCGCCCCTCCAGGGTGTATCAGTCCGCTTGGGGCCGTTGTCTACTTCAACTCCCATTATCTACAGAGCGCCTCCACCATGCCTCATTTGTCTTGTGCTGCCCTCAATGCATCCACTTCCCTTTGCAGAGCATCCAGGTCGGCGAGGATGTCCGCCCCCTTGCCCCAATCTGCTGCGCCATACTCTTGCTGTACATTATCCTCCGCAGCCGGCTCTTCTGGCACGTTGCTGCCCATGGCCCTTGTACTGTCAATGCTTGTCCTCCTCATCCCGTACCCATCCATGCTCCCGCGGCTGCTGCCTCTCTGACGGGGCGGCGGCGGTGGGGGAGCATTCTCCTTGCCCCCGCTGTTCTTCCTGCTCGGGTTTTCGATGCTCCTGACGCTGGGAGGCCGGCGCGTTGAAGTATTCCGCGCTGGGGGCGGTGGCGGGGGAGAAATCTTGGGAGGCGTATTCCCCGTAGCATGTGTAGAATTATCAACATCGGACGGTGCTGGGCTGGCAGCGTAAAATGAAGAATTGGGCGGCGGGGCTAATTGAAATGACTGCCGATGCGATGCATGCGGGCGCCTAGGAGGAGGCGGAGCCGGCGCAGTGATGCTCCGGAAACTCTCTGACCTCGAGCGCTGCGACTCCATCGAAGAGCGAGGCGGCGTGTCGGCCTCGTAGTTTGGCATACTCGGAGCGTTAGCCCCAGCATTGGCGGTTAAGGACTGGCTCCGTGCGTGGCCCCGCCTTGGTGGAGGGGCAGGTGTCGGCCTCTTGCCTGCCGCCGGACGAGCCGGGGTGGGTGTTGAGCTGGGAGTGGGGGAGTCCTGCTCCGGAACCTTGCCAGCGGCTTCCCGGGCAAAAATATCTTCCGCGTCGTCCCCAACGTGACTGCTTGGGGCGGGCGGTAGGGGTTTGTTGACATCAGACGGTGAAACAGGCGATGCATTCTCGGAGGAGATGTGTGGACGGCCCGCTGTCTGCACGCTAATCTTCCTACCATGCCTTGAGCTCGGCGGAGGAGGTTTCTTCTTCATGGAAAATGATGATGACAGTAGAGATCGCTGGTCTTCAACACCGCCGTCTGCGATATCCTGTGACGTCCGCGGCGTTTCCAGCTCTGGCGCAGCGTAGGATGCATTGGAAGTTGGGTTGGCCGGCTCTGGCTTCTGTGGGAACGGTGTCGCAGCACCGGCTTGGCCGGTGAGGAGCAGCATCTTGAAGGCGTTGACATCCATGGATTTGGTTGATCCGCCAGATAAAGGCTTCCCGTCCGTCAAGCGTTCCAAATCTTGCAGCGTCTTGCCAAAGGGGTTGTCGGGTGTATTGGTCGCGTTGGCAATGCGAAGCGGCGCAGCCTCGGGCAGGCCGCCGGGAAGCTCGGGAAACCGCTTTGAGAAGTGGTCGTCTTCATCGTGGGAATCATCGTCGCTGCTGTCGTCCTGGCGTCCGAAGCCTCTGCTGTGTACCGATTCTGGGGAGGAGGGAGATGAGGGCGGCGGCGAAAGGACCCTAACCTTCTTCACAACCTTTGGCTTGGCAGGTCGTGCCTCGGGGGGCGGGGGGCCATTTTGCCTCGGGACGCCGGAGGTGATGGACTCGAGAAAGGCTGATGTAGACACGGGCTGAGGCGTCGAGATAGACAGGGAGGTGGAAGGAGACTTCCTTCGAAAGGGATTATGTTCGGAGGCCATGTTTGCGACGGGTAAAGGCTCGGAATGGGCGGATTAATCTTGTAACGTGCAGTCCTGTCGTGGGAGGAGTCAGGCAGCCGCCATGGCCAGGGTCCCGTAGAGCGAGACGCGGACGTTGTTGTAATCACCGAGCTGAGACTATTGACTGAGGATGCGACGGCGTCGACGACGACGACAGCGACGACGACGACGACAACGACAACAACAGCGACGACGACGAAATTCCAACAGCCTGTTCGAGCTCGTTGAGGTTCGATTGTGGACAGAAAGGCTGGGCGGGCGGAAGGTGTCGGATGGATCGCTGTGTAGATCGAGGGGTAGGGGTTATTGGTGGTGGTGGTGGTACTGCTACTGGTACTGGTACTCGTACTGGTACAGGGTACGGGGTATGGCCACGGGTACTGCGGGCGAGCGTCAGTTTCGTCGGCCGGAAGAATCGGTTGGGACGTACATCAGTCGCAAGGGACGATGGAAGGACGATCTTGATTCGGTTGCGGGATGACGGGGAGTCCAATGGGGAAAACGGGGGATCCAAGTTTGTTGCTTACCAAGTGGCCGAGAAACGATGTTGCGTTGAAGCTGTGGTAGTTGGATGAGGATGTGCTGATAAGTGCTGGTAGATACGATGACAATAGACCGAGCTCGGTGGTAAGAGACGCAACAGTACGGCGTAGTATGGTGCGTGTATCCGTAGTGGCAGTGCTGCTGGCGAGTGAAAGTTGGGTTTGGACGTGTCGGGAACGGAGTGACGGAGGATGAGATGAGATTGGACAGAAACCAGACCCGTGGACGTCAGTCCGAGGGGACGGAACGGTGCGATTCGACACAATGCGGGTGCGGATAAGACCAACGCCAGGGGAGCTGTCTGCTTATCGGCGGTGGTGCTGGGTGCCAGTAGGTGCCAGTGGGTGGTGATTGACGACACTTTTGATGGGACCACCGGCGGGGGATGACGAAAAAGAGGAGCCCGTTTGGTGTATGCGTAGGACTGTATCCAACCTGTGCCTAGGCATCTAGGTAGGGTCGTCCTGTCGAGTCCAGGTAGGGCCGCCCGCTTGGTTGTTTCCACCTCAGCTTGGTAGGTAAGGTAGGTTGGTAGGTGGGTGAGGTGCCTCCGTTGAGGGTAGATGGGGTAAGGAGGGCAAGTTGCAAATGTGCGGCTGTTGCTGTTCCAGCCAAGGCAACTGCAGATGCAAGCTCTGTCGGCTCGAGACTAGGTGACTGAGGCAAGCAAGAGGCGGGCAGGCAGGTAAAAAGAGAGGAAGAAGCGCCCGTCTTGCCTCGCCTTGCCTTTGACTCCATTTCTTGTCAGCGTCGTCGACGAAGGAGCACTGCACAGGTACATGTTCAATGTACCCGGTACTTTCCAGGCGCCTCAGCGACAATTGCCCCCCACATCACATACCTCGAAACGGACGGGAGGACGCGCACGAGCCAAGCTCCAGATCGATGCTTCACGCTTTCCCATTCTCCCTCACTCACCAATGCTCACCACTCACCACTCACCTCTCATACACATCTCACAGCTCACAGACGGTATGGTCTTATGTCTCGTGCCTCATACCTCACACCTCACGGCGGCCTGTGATTCTTCGCCATCGACGCCTCTCGGCCATCCTACCTACTCACCTTTCGTTCTTCAGACCCTTCTCTCAGCCCAAGGGATATGATGCTGCCGCCTCATTCTTTCGTCATCAACCCTTGCCAGAACCTGTCAGGAACCCCTCCCCTGCGGTCCCCTTCCGCCCACGACCCTTCAAACGCCTAGATCACTTTCTCTCTCTCTCTCTCTCTCTCTCTCTCTCTCTCTCTCTCTCTTGATCTCTTGATCCTCTCTACCCCGTCGCCTCCAACTGTACGGTTGCCCCCTGCACCTGTCGCTCAAGCTGTTCCGGATTGACAACAGGGATCCCGGGACATGGATCAACATTCACAGGTGGAGGGGGAGCGGCCAGCATAAACACCAGCATGAACAACTCTCCGTACTCTTGAGAGAAACGCATCTTTGCCGTAACAAGTTCCAGGTTGTCTCTTGTCAAGTTGTCTCCTCTCCTCCCTCCCCTCCCCGCTTATATCAGACTAGGCAAGGTACGACTGCCTCACGGCGATGCACATGTACCCCCTACCTACCACTTTTGCAGCTCCAGTGCCCAATGTCATTCCTCTCGCAACCTCCAAAACATCAAGGTTTGTTTCAGGAACACCAATGGGAGAGCAAGCTCGGGGCTAGCTATCCACGTCACTCCTTGTCGCCGTCCACGCCTGCAACATGCACCGCAGCGCCGCGCACCGCTCGCTCACGTTTATGTGCACGGGCTACTGCACCAGACCTCATGCCGAGCAGCGACGACTCCTACCTGCACCACCGGCAACATCATAATGCCCGGCTGCGTTGAAGGTAAAAGTACCTACAAGAGTAAGAGACGGAGAGGGGCCGACGGAAAAGCCGCGACCAAGCTCTCCACCTCCACAGCTCGCCGCCTCGAAAGAAGCACCGAGCTCGACACTTGACACCGTTACACCTCCCGTCTTCCACCTCCTCATCCTCCTCCTCCTCCTCATCCTCCTCCTCCTCCTCCTCCTCCTCCTTTTCTCTACTTCTTTTGTTTACTTCTTCTCTCTTTCTCCAGGCTTATCCCCGCACCGTCACCTCCGGGTCTTCATCAACCTCTTCTTTCGTCCGACATTTAGAACGCGGCTGCGGAAGCACTCTGACAGGTTGCCCACATGATACTCTCCATCCACAATGTCCCGACTTTCTCCTCCATCTTCTCGCCTTCTCACGGCATAGGCGGAGCATACCTCTACTTACAAGCCCATCTTGAAATGCCACCATAAGTACCGTCTCTCCATGGAGAGTGAATCCGTTCTTGCTTGAGAGCCGAAAACAGTAAACAACCAAACCAAAACTTGCCGCGCTTGTCTATAAAGATCAACAACAGGGTAGGGGTCTCGCCGTGTAGCGCCATCTCCTCATCGCACGTGTCAACCCCGTCGAGTCCCACCGCAGCCGGCGCCATAATCCTCCCCAACTCAAAACCACGACACACGCCCACAGAAGGTAGACACTTGAGGCTAGATCCGCGTCGAGTATCCGCAGCTAGTCAAATAATTCCTTACTCACCGCTCAAACCAAAGGTAAATCTACTCGACGGTAAAAAATTTGGCTTGGCAATAACACTCCTTAAGAAACATGTTCACTCAACACTACCTTCAAACCAAGTTCACACCGAAGAATTGTAGGCGGTGGTGAAGAAGCTCGAGTCACCACTTCAATCCCTCTGCAAGTTGCAATCGACGGATATCAATGAGTTGGTTTCGCAGTTAGTAAACCCGTCCAAACCGGACTATAGAGCGTCAGAGGGTACGGCCATCACCGGCGGCGGGCGTGTCCGTCTCAGACCAAGTCACGTCCAGTCCCATGTGTCAGACCACTAATAACAAACCAGTGTAGTTGTGAGGGGTCAAAGTCGTCTAGAACATCGGTGAAGAACCCTCCAAAACCCACGGAATGCTCTTAGTACTGCACAGAAGCAAACCAAATTCAACCTCGAAAACCAAAAAGCCAATCCGTCGACTCGGCACCGAGTCATACAGAATAATTGACGGCAAGAAAAGACAAACGGCCCTTCTCCGTTGAGCCGTGAAAATACGGCACGTGACACACTGAGTCCCCGTCACGCCCGCCGGAGGCACAGACGCCTTTCCAACTCTCGGGCCTCTCTCTGTAGCCTCTCCCTCTCTGAGGGGGTCTCTACCTCATCTCTTTCTAGGTGTGGTTATCTCTGCGTCACGGGCAGGCTACCGTGCCGCCCGGGATTTAGAGTAGAGGAAGACCCAAAATGTAAACAAAAGAAAAGAAGACCCTTGGAGGATTCAGAACCGCGTCGGCTCCACTCCGAAACTCCCTGGGGGACCGACCTTGCCAGACTCCGGCATTACGGCTTGTCGCACATTTCTCAGACATCCTTCGTCGGCACCACAGCTCATCGCCCTCCTCTTTATGTTACGCTCCCGCTCTGTTTTCACAGCCAGATGCCATCTCCGTGACTCGTTCATCGCTCAGACCCAGGCGATCCTCAAAACGAAATGCTAGACAGTTTGTATCATTTCCTCTGGAACCCACCCCGTAATTATACGCGAGGCGCCGCATTTGCCATCGGGTGCCCCTGAGTACTAGGCTCAGAAGTTTCCTTCGAGGTTACAACGTCTGCCTCTTGCAAAACTCGAATCAAGCCTTCCAATCCACATCTTCAGTAGAGCCGCACATTGTCAAGGAAACTCATGTGAACAGTAAAAGGGTTCCTTCGTTGGTATATCGCGCGAGCTATAGTTACAGTAGTCGGAAAGGGGTCCGTCTCATGTCGTGAGAGCGGGATCAAGAGACGCCCGCCAAGCACGCAAGAATCTCCCTCAAAAAAGGCACGTAGACAGAAATTAACACAATCCCGACCCTCGTTCCCTTAGAGCCCCGAACCACGCGTCGCGTTCAGTCAAAAGCAGCCGCAGCATATAGAAAAACAAGACAAAACAAGCCACAAGACAAGAAACGCAGTCGCGTTTTCACCCCAGGTTGGTTTCCCACCAACGCTTCCCGGCCCGTTGCCCTTTCCCAGTTAGTTAAACAACTCCCGTAAACGCCTTTCGACAAGATTTCGTGACACAAAACAGTTGTGCGAAGAGCCGAGCAGATACTCGACGTTGCATCATCGTTCAAGGTTGGGTAAGGATGTGACCCTTTATGCCGTGGCAGCGGGTGCCTCAGCCTTGGCCTCCTTCTTGTCAGCGGCGGCCTTCTTGGGCGCTGCCTTCTTCGGGGCGGCGGCCTTTTTGGGTGCAGCGGCCTTCTTCTCCTTGGGCTCCTTCGCCTCCTTCTTGGCCGCGGGGGCCTTCTTCTCCGTCTTGGTTACGCGACCAGTCTTGGTCTTGCTGAGAACGGCGGGCTTCTCCTCCTTGGCCTGGGGATGTCAGTGATGATTATGAAACAGAGGCACACGGTCAACATACGGCAGCAGCCTTCTTGGCGGCGGGCTTCTTCTCCTTCTTCTCAGCGACAGCCTTCTTGGGAGCAGCGGCCTTCTTCTCCTTGGGCTCCTTGGCTTCCTTGGTCTCCTTCTTGGCGGCGGCCTTCTTGGGAGCGGCGGCCTTCTTCTCCTTAGGCTCCTTGGCCTCCTTCTTCGCAGGGGCCTTCTTCTCGGCGACCTTTTTCTCGGTCTTCTTCTCAGTCTTCTTCTCGGCGGGCTTAGGCGCCTTCTTGGCGAGCTTGGTACCACCGGAGGGACCTTGGAGGATGTTAGTGTTGCACAAAGGCAGAGACAGGCAGGTAGACGAGGACATACCCTTGGGCTGCTCGAAGACACCCTTCTCAACACCGGCGCGGAGGGCCTTGTTGAACAGGGAGTCGAACATGTTGTCGCTGACCGTGTTGATCTGGTTGTTGGCCTTGACGTACTTCTTCAGGGACTGGCGGGAAGATCCGTTGCGGTCCTTGAGCTGTAGAAGAGATGGTGAGTCAGTAAAGAGGAACACGGGATTGCATAATCCGTTCATCGTGGTTGGAGGTGGAGGGTGGTGGCGCGATCGAAGGTCACGGGCACTAGGTTCAGACGGCAGCTGACCCGACCCGTGGGCCCTTCGGTCGCGTAATCCTTTGCGCCGGAGATGAAGGAGCAGCACTACGTACAGCAACAATGGCATCGGTAATCATATCCTGTAGAGTATTAGCAACCAACGCGCCATGCAAAAAGCCTGAGTAGTTGAGGTACAAACCTGGTAGCTGGCGTGGGTGGACTTCTTGCTGGGGGCAGCAGCGGCGCCCTCGGTCTTCTTGGGAGGCATTGTGATTGTTTTGGGTGGTGTAGATGCGTTAAGCGGATAGGGGTGCAGTTAAGCGGGACACAATCGAAATGGCGATTGAAGTCGATTCAGAGACGAGGAAGCTTGGAGAAGTTGCGAAAATTAAATGTACGCGTTCTGGTTGTTGAGAAAGGCGAGAGATGAAGAGGTCCGGAACGAGAGGGTGGAGGGGGAGCGCGTGCGTGGAGGGGATGGGGCATGTTTTTATAAATGGGCGGGGACCGTTGGGCGCGGTGCGCAATCAGTAACTTTTGGGGACATTTGAGGTGCCTTCTTTTTTTTTTTAGCCTTGGTGCGGGTGTCTTTTGGGTCCTCCCGTCCCCCGTCCATTTTGAGGGGGATGGTCGCTAAACAACGGGGACGGGGGGGCCTTGGGCCTTCCCCCCTCAACTCTCACCTCGCACGTCGCTCACTCCCCATGATTGCACACCCATTCTACCCTCTTTTTCTCCTTCTCTTTTTACCTCTCCCTTACTCACTCACTCACTCGGCCCTATACCAGCAAATAACCACGGTAGACTAGACTAGCATGAACTTGAACGATATTCCCGTTGGACCTAACAGGGTCTTGGCGAGTCGGCAGGGTGCATTTATTCCATAACGACATAAAGCAAGTTTATCTCGAGTTGGATTCTGAAGTCGACAGTCGACAGCATACCGCAGAGCCTTGTGACGGTCACCTTTGACGTCTGCTTGTGTCGTCTCTCCACGCCTCATTGTATTCCCCATCTCCTTCCGCCTCTCTTTCGACTCGAGTTCGTTGTCCTCATCCGTCGGCGGCGTATCTACTTGGGTTCAAATCGCCGATTAGCGCGGGAGCGGGAGAGACGTGCGTGTCTATTTTGGACGTGTCTAGCCGGCGCGATGGTGGATGTTCTAAGAAATCCTCGGCTGGTGACATATTCCAGCATGGCCTCTCTCACCTCGGTCCATCTGCCCCTCTATATGGACCCGTGCCTTCTTTGCAGTATCTGTTTTGACGATGGATCGATAATTTGCATCTCTCGTTCGTTCATAAGTTATACGGCAACTGTGGCTTGTCCTAAGTTGAGTCGACGCGCTGCCATTCACCTCAATGAGACTGTTGGAAGACGCGGACAGCGGCCAAGCGGCGCCCGTCACTCCTCATCTAAGGCTCTGCCCAAGCCTCAGCCCAGTTCACCTCCTCCGCCCTCGCCGGAAGCACTCGAGCTCCCCGGCCCCCCAGCTCCAGGCCATGCACAAAGCTTCTGAGGCTTCTGTCGTTTCTGCCGTCACACCCTAGACGGATCCCTGGTCTTCCCTATTCGCCCAAGGGTTAATGTAAGTGTTGGTGGGTGGTTCCAGCACATCCCCCCTCGGGGTCGCCACGGGTGCAGTCATCTGCCCTAAGAGAGCCGGGGTTTTGTTCTTCTGGTGCTCTTCTAATTACTGCCATTCTGTCCGGCGGCTTGCCTGCCTGCGGTTTTCACTGGGGCTTGTCCCGGTGGGTTTGGGGTGTGAGTCTGTGAGATGAGATCTCATGAGAGTGAGAGAGTGAGAGGGTCAGAGAAATGACCCCAGACAAACAGAGCCACTGCCGCAGTGCCGCCCAAGTCCCTGAGTTCCTGAGCCGGCCAAACTGAGGCAGAAGGCGTCAATCCATCCATCCATCCATCCACCTTCTTTCGCTACGCATTCTTCCCGTCTGGTCAAACCCCAAGATCAGCCAGACCCAGGAAGGAACCATCAGTGAATGTGCAGGTACATGGTTCCTTGCTCCTCCTTCCCCCCCTCCTCCTGCACCACATGCACCACCTGCACCAGACCACAGCACCAACGAAGTGTGCACTCCTGCCCTGCGCCCATCCCGCCCGTTCTTTCCCATCCAAACCTACGGAACTGCCATGTTTTCTGCCACGCTCAATTGCCTCAGAAAGCAGCAATCGGGAGGCAAGCAAAAGATACATTGCCCTTGTACCTTATCCTCCTTTTTCCCTTCCGTCGCATTTTTCAGAAATTCTCCCGTTTCCCTTATTTCTGATTGGCCCTAATATTCCACGTCGTGTGTCTGCTGGCTGCTGCCCCGTGGTTCCTTCCCCTCCCCGTTCCGAATGCTCAGCGTCGCTGCGTCGCTCCCTCCGTCCCTGCTCTAACTCCTGAGCCTCTGATGCCGCACACGTTCGGGGCTCGCCCATCTCCCACCAAACCCATTCTCATCGCCCACCTCAACCGCCCTCTTTCCTCCTCGCCCTTCTCCTCTTTCTCTTCCCTCTCGAATCTCTCGTCTTCCCGATTCCTCACCCTCCATCACGGAAAATGACTCATTGCTCGCCGTTGCCACGTTTTTGAGCCTCGCACCCGTCGATTCACCACCCCCCGACCCGACCCCAATTTCCCTCCCATACTCACGCCTTTCCCCCGCCGAGTTGCCCGGTTATCACATCGTCGCCCAACTTCGTTTTCCCCACGATCGCGACTGCCGTCCGTCGCATCTGCCCTCCTGCCTCTCATTCCTAGTTTCATCATGCACTGATTCTATCATTCTGTCGCTCGAATTTTTCTCCATCATGCGATGCACTTTTTTGTCCGTTTATGACGTGTTGCGGTCCTGCTATCGCGCATCCTCTCCCCGACCCCGGACCCGTCTGTTGTGATTCGATCGCGCTTCGTCCAAATTGAAGCTATCCGCACATCTTGCACCACCCTCGTCACAATCACCAACAGCACCATTAAACGCATCAGAAAAACACCTGATTCCATCATCTAGGTCGACGGTCTGCTCGGCGATATTTTTGTTGAATTTCTAGCATTTTCCTGGCTCGATTTGACTTACACCGAGTATCGCTTCTTGTCCCATCGCCAAAAGGCCACGCGACCGGTGAAATGGAGTGGATCGCCTCGTCCGTGTGCCCACGTTCACCTCCTTGTCTAAACTCGGTCATCACGTCTTTTATGGCATCGCTGTGACCTATCTTGTTATTCTCTGTGTTTTTGAGCCGTTTGGAGCTGGAATGGTGCCGCCAGCGCCGAAGGCAGCATTAAGTGCGGAAGACGCGATGGAAGCTATTCGCGATTACACCAGCACTTCCGCTGAGTGGCGCATACCACCGCTCTACGCACGCAATTGGTGATGAAACTTCTTGTTATGAGCTGCTTAGACTTCGACTTTCATCGCCATTGTCTTTTCTTGTCTCTATGCATTAAGGTCGTTTATCTCTAGACTGCCGCTTCAAGAATGATGCATGTCTGCCCAAGGTGGAGGAGTCGAACACGTGTGTCCGTCCGTCACTGTCTCGTGAATTGGCATGACCAACACATCGTCGACTTCTCTGAAACTGTCCAGGAACCCACGAATAGTTTTCAAGTATGATGACAACATTGCTCAATGGAACTTGTATTCATGCAGAGACACGCCTTGTCAAGATTGCGTGGCCGTCCTGCGCCTTGCCAGTGGTGGGTAGGTAGGTACGATTGGTAGAGAGGGGGAAGGCTGTGTGTCACGTGGTGCCGCTTTTCAGCGCCCAATATTCTGCGCCTTGGGACGCATCATCAATGGGAGCAATGGATCGTGAATTGAAACTTATTAAAGGCTCTCCTGAGCTCTTCTGCTATGCGGTCAATGTTGCATTCTCCTTGCGAAGCCTTTGGGGGTGCTCAAGAGGCACCGAATCCGCGCAGCTAAGCCTCTGCGCAGCTAAGCCTCCGCGCGCCTGTCGGGTTGATGAACCTCGCTGAAAGGTCGCCTGCCTGTCATGCTGCGGGCAATCCGGTCACAACATGAAATTGAGATTGAACGGAGTCTTCAATATCAGAATCCTCAAATCAAATACTTTTGACGGGGGATCTTACAGTCTGTCGTCTGACGGCATGGCGGCTGATCCAGAAACTCAAGCCTGGCTGCGACCTCAATGTTTTGACTCTTGACGCGTGTGTCCCAGGCTTACCCCTTCTCGTTTCCATCAGCCGCCAGCAGAACAACTGCGTCAAATATGACTTTATATTTCCATGGGAAACGAATAACCTTGAACCGAAGTCAGATTTCATCCATCTTTCAGGGCCCTCCTTCCCTCCCGCTTGATGGTCAACGCAGAGAGTTGGCTGCAGGCAGCGACGCGTCCCCGTCGACCGGATGCGCCGCCCACCGCACCGCCGGTGGGCAAAAAAACGCACTGTACACTTTTGCGTTGGCGCGCTGCAGTGTCGTTGGTCGTCCGGCGTCCTCCCTGATCTGGAAGGTGGGGCAAAGGCATGAAGGACAGGAAGCTATGACCACCGCTCCCGTTGCAGCTTCGGAGCTGCCTCCCGCCCAGGTCCCCCCCGCGCGCAGCACGTCCCAGGAAGCAGGAAGCAGGTCGGTTGGTTGGTCCTGGAGTTCCTGGCACAGGCTCCGCTCCACCGGAGGATTACATAACACTTGCTTGCTTACCTCAGCTCATGGTCCTGGAGATGGGGGGTCGCACCTGCGCCAAAAACCCTTCAGCGCGTCTCACCGTCTCACGGATGCAGCCGGGGTTCTTCATGACTGCTTTCATCGCTTGCATTGAGTTGAACAAAGTAGAATATTGGGCGAAGGAGTGGGGCTAGTAGTATTCACATGCTTATAGATAAGGCAACTGTTGACTTTCTAGTTATTGGAACTTTGCAAGAGAAAGGGTTTAAGCCAATGTTGCATCGCATGCACCGCCACACAAGAGGAACCCATACTGAACGTTATTGCGAGGTTGCCTGTGGCTTACAGGGAGATACCGATTGGACTGCATCGAGTTGACTGTGATGAAGTGAGGGGATCAAGAATTAAGAATTAAAAGCTGCAAAAGACTTGACCTTGCCTTCCAAAGTCCTTGCCTTCCAGAATCGAGCCAGGCGCACGCCAATATTGCGGCTAAGCCCGACTCGGTATAGCCACTCTCCAGAAAGTACGAGTTGTATTACAGGGCAACTCGCTGAATCTCCAACTCTGCCGGATACCGAGGTTCCAGAAGGGCGTAGCGCAGAGACGATGTGAGCAGGCAGGGTCTTTTGTTATTCTCCCTCCAATATGTCTCTATCTCGAGAGCCGGGCGGCTGCAACTATGCCAGAGCTTGAATGCCGTGGTTTCCAAAGTTGAAGATGCCCAACGGCGTCGAAACACCGAGAGTCCGAGCCGGAACCCCCACGCCCCATCGCACCTTGCCAGCATAAACTACATTGGGCGCGCTCCAACTACCGACCCAAGCCAACGGGCGGCAATAACGCAGCCCGGGAATTGCAACTAGAATCCGCTGGGACGGGCCAGGCCAAATTCAACTTCCACCCAACTCGCTCTCTGATTGATTACCATGCTCTGCACCAACTTGCGACGTGTAGCCGACGGAAGCCGAGTTTCCTCACTTCCGTCATCCACCTTTCGCCGGCGTTGGATCAAAATTCTTCAACCCCCTGCTTCAATAGCATACCGTCGTCGCTGTTCTTCTTCTTCTTCCTCTGCTGCATTCTCATTCTTGTTCGCAAATAGATACCCGCGGGGAACGCCAAAGATGCGCAACTCGTTCGCCCTCGGCGCCGGCCTGGCCTGCCGCCTCCCTACACCTCACATACCTAGGCGATCGTTCGTGACCACCGTCGCACGGGGTCTCGCCGCCGCCGCCTCCTCAGCTCCAGCGCCCGCGCCGCCGCTAAATCCGCGATGGCTTTCCGAGTTGCAGGCGCGCATCAAGCGGTGCGCGGGGCTCGACCTCAGCGAGCAGCAGAAGGGGGAGTTGAAGGCTCTGCGGGAGGCTATCGACGGGCAGTGGTTGGAGTTGCTCGCCGGACGGGAGGGGTTCCTCACGGGCCCCGGGTGGAGGGGCCTCGACAGGCATACGGTGACTTGGGGAGACCAGGTGAGTTTTGTTTTGTTATGAGTTTCCTAGAGACGGGATGAATTGAATACTGATTGCGATGGAATCCAGGATGCAATGGTGAGTTGTTACCGAGCTTGACTCCACGGGGAAGGGGGAGACAAACTGACAAGTCACAGGGTATGGCTCGCCTCTCCAATGAACCACGAAACAAATTCTCACAGCCGTAGGTCATGTAAACAACGTCGTCTACAACAAGTACGCCGAGTCGGCGCGGGTCAATTGGCTTCGTAACTTTGCGACAACGGTGGATCCCGAGCACAAGGACGAGTGGAACCAGCTCATGAGCCCGCGGGACCTTGGCCTCATCATGAGAAGCATCAAGACGGACTACAAATTTGTGAGTGAGATTCCATCAAAGTAAACCAGCAAATCCCCAAATCGCCCGCGCTTTGGCCCCGCAAAGATCACATTAAGAAAAATCCCGAATCGCCCATACTGACAAACCTCCCTCCCTCTGAAGCCAATGGCCTACCCTGACCACGTGACGGTCCTCCATAAGCTCGTCTCCAAGCCGACGTACGGTTCAGACTTCATCCTGCTCGAGGCTCTCCTCATCTCCGACGGCCACCGCCGCCCTGCCGCCCGCTGCTTCGAGGACATCGTCGTCTATGATTACAAGACGGCAAAGAGGGCGCCGCTCAAGCCTTTTATGGTCGATCGGCTGCGGGAGACGTACGAGGCGCAGGAGAAGAGCAAGGTCGAATGCGAGGATAAGGTGAAGGGTTTCGTCGAGATTGTCGAGCGTCTCGAGAAGGCCGCGTGAGGCGTAATTTGTTGGGCTGGCGAGATGCTATTCTCTGTGGAAGAAGCGCGATTTTGAGTGAGATGAAAAGGCGCAAGAGCACTGCATGTTAGACTTAGACTATAGACCTCACACTGGGGAATCAATACTCAAAAGCGATATAGACGAACGGGACAGCCGTTGGAAGCGCAGATGTCCGAGGGAGGCTCCGGATCGGCGGGCGATGACGGCGCGAGGCTTTTCATCGGCTGAAAGTGGAGATCTGCGCGACATCGACGATTCGATGCCCGCCGGCGCGTGCGTGTGACCTTGATTCCCCCACCATCATCACCAAGACATAGCCTTGCATATCCCGCAACTCCAACCGACAGCTGGTTTCATTTGGGAGCATAGACACAACTCCAGATTTTCAAGACCTGTCCATCACCATGAGCAGCATCTCATTCCGCGAGCACATCCGCTGGATCCCCGATGAGGCGAGCGAGCCGACGTCGACCGTGGTGCTCACATCCCCGCAGCGCCGTTTCGTAGATCTCCGCATTCTGAAGCAGCCGCCGACGGTGGATGGCGTGCAAGGTAAAATCTTCACCTCCGCTCTAGATTATCCATGTCACTACAACATCCGGTGGCACACATGACTGGACCAACATACGAAAATCACAAATACTTGTGTTGATTCCCACGAACTGACATCCACCCAGACACGCACGGCATCGAGCGCTTGGAATGGGGCATCGCGGGGACCTCGTCGTCATCCCTCCGCCCCGACGGCCAAGGAGGCGAGGTGCGCCACTCGCGCTGGGAGCACTGGATCGACTCGCGCACGACGGCGCCCGAGAACGCGGCGGACGAGGGGGACATGTACGAGCAGCCCGACGGGCTGACGCTCGAAAAGGGCCGGATGGTGAACCCCGCCACGGGCCGGGAGACGGACTACGAGGAGCTCTGGAGGGACATTGACCCCGTTGCGGTTCTTCGGGCCGGTGCTGATGCTGAGGAGAAGGGTGTCGAGTGCGTCGTGCTCAAGTTTGAGGACGAGTCGACGGGGGCGCGGGGAATGGTTGTCTGGCTGGGACGGTTCTGTCAGGGGATCTCGAGGGTCGGGGAGGAGGTTGCGGCGGAGAGGTGGGAGTGGAAGGAGGGGGAAGGGTGGAGGCGGACGGTGAGGATCGGGGACCGGGCTTTGCCTTGCGAGGTCTTGTTGGTGACGGGTGCCGCGTTGAGTGTTGGGACGCATGTTGTTCACGAGAAGGTTGTTTGGGATGTGCTTGAGAGCAGTTGAATGGGATTGACGATGCTTACGGAGGGCTAGCAATGAATTATCTGGCTTACGTGTCTGTAGACAGATCCTAGATGTTCTCGATTGAGGAGAAAGAGGGTAAGATGCACTACAGTCGAGTCTGATGTTGCGAGTGTCGATTGCTGTGTACCTTTCGCGTATACCTGCTATCTAACGCTGCTCGTCTCGCTAAGATGTCGATGCATTATGAAATCTGGATTCCAATTCCGATTAGCAAAAGCAGAATGTCGGATAAAATAGCGCCAACCGAGCTTGGATAAATGCACAAGAACTTGATTTAACAATCCGAAACTTTTGGAGTTTAATCGGCTGGATGAGATTTGGAAGTCTTGGAACATATCATATACGACCCACGTAAAATTTGCCCCTGAAATAAGTGCTTCAACTTCGGTAATCGCATCCGATATTCTAGTCTACTAAATACAAGCTGTGAACAAGACCAACCACATGTAGGAATCATAAGCAACCTTCTACATCCAGAGGCTGCCTCTGCGATATCTGATTCCTAACCAGTCTAGGCTTTGGAGATAGCAAAGTTTCCAAAAAGCCATGAAAAGTTTGAACAGTCTCACAAACCCGATGACGAACCCACCAAGGCCATCAGTAATCTTTCTCCGATACAGCGCAGCAACGGGTATATATGTAAATGGCACCACCGACTTGCTAACGGTTCTTGTCTCGGACTCAGAAGCACTCAACATCAGAGTATCAGAAGAATCAACAATAGAGAGCAGTCTTGACCATTGAGCAACTATGGCAACAATATTCCACCAATTCTCCCGGTTTCCTACCGAGCTGCGACTACAAATCTGGAAATCCAATCTCCGGCCCTCGGCCCCGAGTTTTCATATCTTCTCCATCAAAGGACCAACTGCTACGTCAAACAGACTTGGACACAAAGAATCAATGCGGCCGCGCCAAGGTCGAAAATACGTCCTTGCCAAACCCATTTTCACTGCGGGAGAACGGCGTCCGTGGATGGAGTCAGATCCTTCGACATTTCTCATCGATGCCGGCCTATGGTCCGCCTGCAAAGAGTCCAGATACGTAGTAGCAAAGCATTACGCGTCGCTAATGGGCCCTCCCAAAGGCCAAACATCACGTGCAGCAGACGACTCAATCACAAAAAGCACGTCTGGATCAAGCATACTTCCACACCAAGACCTTAACATCTTCCAAGTCGCGCCTGACCAACGTATCGCCGTCGGAGAAGCACTGGCCGCTCTCCGACCGTTCTTTCAAAACAACATCTCTAGACAACTCCATATCGCCTTTGAATACGACGACACCTGGAAAATCCACGGCGGCGACAGTACCGAGGCCATGAAGATGCAGCCAGGTCCCCGGGCCTGTTTCATCAACCTCCTAGAGAGAACTTTGTGTGGGCTTCTATCGGCTAAACTATACCTCATTGACTACAGCGCAGAGCGAGACACAGTTGATGCCCCAGTGCTGTTCTCTGCGGGAGGTTATGAGCTCAGTGAGCTTGACCGTAGCCCTACCGGAGTTATGAGGACCAGGTTTGGGATTTCAAGATGGTTCGTGGAGCAGCTCGCAATACTGGGTGCAATGCACTGGCTATTCGCCGCACCGATGTGGACGCCTGGGTCCCTATCTTCACCCCTCGGTGACTACTTGGCTATAACGACCAGTGTGGTCGTGCTCAAATGTTTCGAGAAGAAAAATTCTGTTGATTGAGACTAGGAGGGCAGGGTGAAGGTAGTAGTAGGCTCTCAGCAGATGCATTATGGCTGAGGCTGCTTCAGGGACGTGTCGAAGAAAATAACGTGTTGCTTGATACTTGCACCATAGGACGATGGTTAACTGACAGTGAGTTATGAACCTATGTGTAACTTAGAATTAGCTCTATCCTCAACCCAACTGGTTGATTCCAGTCATTAGAGAGACAGGGCTTGATGTGGAGTTGTTCTGAGTCTGAATACATGTCTTTAACACGAAACTTCCCTTCGACAAAGAGTTTTCAGCCTGCCACGTGCCTTCTCATGTACCTTAAGCCAGACCTTCGCATGATTTATATGCAGGAATCCTCTTATTCATTTTACTTTCAAAGTAAACCATCCTACATTCAACTCAACTCACGTACCCTCAGCTGTGGGCTCACAGTACTCTACCCTAGCCTCTAAATCGCGAGAGTATGTCTGGATTTCACTCGGCCGTGTGAACAGAAAAAATCAGAACTTCCCTTTGCACTGATCTGTTAATTATTACAGCTGCGGTTCAGAGCATTGACAGTCATAAGCCGTCAGTAGTCAATTGATTAAGTGCTCAGACTAGAGACTGGTGAATACACATGCCCAGGAAACCAAAGAGGACGATGTTACATGTTGAAAAGCACATCATCACGAACTCAGATAACCTCTTTCACAGTGGTGACTTTGATCCAAAGTTCATTTCGTTCCAGTGGTAATAATGAGACTTTACATCAGAGAGGGGTAATCAATCCGATTTTCGGCTCTGGGAACTGTTCTAGGCAGGTGTCAGAGAGCAAGCGGGGAAGCCAAGACGCATTGCCGGCGACTTCCCAAAGACATACGGCCAGCGCTTACAGATTGTAGCATTTTCAAGGATAGGGTTTGCAGAAAGCCAGATTCGAGTCTAAGATCAGGCTATCTCGGCCGAGTCGCAACCCCTCGGCGCGATAACCTCAATAAGTCCAAGCGAACTGATTTGCATTGGCAGCGGGGCATTAGCCAATCAAGACGATCTGTAGAGTCACAACCGTTCTTCTTAGTCCTGGTCTGCCGTGCCATTGCATCTGTTACGTTACGTCTGCAGTTTTGTCCTGTGAACAAGAAGGCATTGCTTGCATTCTTGCTGTGGACTGATGCTGTCCATAAAGACCGCGGCTTACCGCGCCGTTCTAGACCGGCTTGTTTGAAACGTTCTGATATCTGCACGTCTCCTTCTGGCCACTTTGTTCGCAATGATGGGAGGGTTTAAGAGATTTGGCCTTTATACTCTGGCATGGACGTTACTGTGCATACATGTACCCTTCATCTTGGCCTACGCCGCAGCCGACACTGGTGTGAAGAGCATTTTCCTCTTCAAAGACGTTCTGCAGTCGAACACCACAGCACTCAAGACTTCCGGCTTCGATACCCTTCTCATTTTCCGGATCGGTCTCCTCGACAACGGCGACCTTGTGTATTACTCAACCGGAGATGCGGGCGACGCAGTCGACGCACCCGTTGTGACCAACGGCTCATATGTTGGTGGAACCGCCTTGGCGGAAAAGATCAAGTCGTTCAAGACTGGCACGACCAACATCAACAGAGTGGAGATCTCGCTGGTATCCCATGATACAACATTCCAAATCATCCGCGACTTGATCAATGCAGACGGGACAAGCTCTGACACAAAGTTGTACAAGAACTTTGAGATCCTAAAGACTGAATGGGACATTGACGCATTCAATAACGACGATGAAGGGGTCTACGACGTGGCGAGCACAGTCAGTTTCGCCCAGATGCTCGGGGAGATGGGGTACCAGTATTCGATCGCACCGTACACCAATAGCGGCTTCTGGGCCAACGTCAAGGCACAGATTGATTCTGCGAGCCCCGGTCTGTTCGATAGGGTGTATCTGCAGGTCTACGACGGCGGAGCTGGCAACAACCCCGGGACGTGGCAGACTACCCTCGGCACGAAGGTCATTCCTCTCCTGTGGGTGACTAATGACGCAAAGCCATCCTCAGGAACCACCGCGGCGCAAGCTCAGCAGCGATTCGAGAGCTGGTTCTCGCAATACGCCGTGGCGGGGGGTGGGTACTGGAATGATTACGATATTGAGAAGATGGACTCATCTTACTCAGATTATGGAGCAGCGCTAACCAGTGTTTTCTGATGTAATGGAGTGCAATGTGTCTCATTCTCAAGAAATAATATTAGTGGTACTTACGAATAGCGAGAGTTTTTCAATGTTGCGGTGTTGCCAAGAATTAGCCATTGTTTTGACTTTGGAGTTTGCCGTCTTGACGTTTTGCTTGCGCCTTAATACCTTTTGACATTTAATGCGACCCTGAGTTCAATAACGGTGGAACCAAACATAGCTAACCTTGTCAACTATTCGAGATGTAGAACAATCAGTTGTTCGCTCAGAGCACTAGTCCTGAAATGTAAGTCAACCCAACCATCCCCCTCCTTTTTCCGCCACCCCCCCGTTTCAATTTAAGAAGACCATAGGCAAGCCCCGACTTTATCCTGCCAAATGAGATAAGATATGGTTCTATGATCTAGTGTCCGACTGATCAATCACCACCCCAATTCGCAATGCGTATAGTGATTCGTTCAATTCTGACAATCTGGCAAAAACGAACACCACTCCGGCGGACACTCACAGGGGGCAAATCCACGCGCCAGGCTGGCAATGGATAATATTCCGAGCCAGCCGGTCATATCGGGCTAGTGCAAAGAGGAGACGTGACAGCCGTCAACACCATGAGAATGGAAACCGATTCCAGATTCCGGTTTATGATAGGGCTAGTTTGGAGGGGTAAAAGCGGAGCGGATTGCTTCGTCGAGTGCGAGGCAAATCAAACCCTATTCTGCCAGAAATATTTAAGACCAAGTCGCCCTACTTTCTTGGGCTAGCCGGCCTCAAAGTGGACTCGCTTTTGCTTAAGCTCTCGACACCATCTGACCACAACTCGCACATACCTACCGCGACGATGGACAACTTTCTAGAACGATGTCCACCTGGCTACGTCGAGGTTCTCGGAAGCCTCGGTGTTCAACTGGGCTACTTCGCTTGCGGGATAATCATGGAAAAGATGCGGCCTGCCTACGTTACCGCAACATCTCGTGAAATCCTGCACAAGAGCATCTTCAATCACTTCATTTTGAATTCCCTCCATTTCGTTATAGCGTGTTGCATGGGTGGCAAGTCGATTTTGTCACACAAATATCCCGCACCGTACCAGCTGCCGTCTTGGAGCGCTTTTATATCAGAACTGGCAATCGGTATGGTGTTGCGGGATGCTGTATTTTGGATCATCCACCGTCTGTTGCACATTCCTGGAGTATACGAGAGAGTGCACGCGAAGCACCACGAGATCAAAAACCCAGGCAACCATCATGTTTTTACCATCAGCTACATGTCAGCTGTGGATTTCTTCTTTTTGTATGCAATTCCGATAGTGTCTGTGGCAAGATTCCTGGACATGAAGCTCGTCACCACCTTGGTGTTCTCCTTCATTTCTGCAACGGGAGAACAGGTTAAACTTGTGTGGGGGGACGAGGCCCACGATGAGCATCACGTGAACGGGGCAGTCAATTTCGGAGCCTACGGACCTATGGACTGGGTCTGTGGAACTAGCGGTCAGTGAATTCCGTCAAGAATGGAGACGCACGATTGCTCATCTAAATTCGATCCGATAGCCTGACGCACTCCGAGATGCGCAAACGAATGTACAGTGGGAGGCTGTAGTATGATGGTCTAATTTGCCGTGTTCTGGAGGTTATGGACGGGTTGAGACACGATTGCCGTCGTGTTGTGTGTTGTTGACCGATTCGGTGCTTTCTTTTTGTTGAAGAAAATCACGGCTGGCATGTTCTTTGAAGTATACTCATGCCTACACCGCTAATAAGGGCGGTGTCTGACTGGGGTAGAATACAACGGCAGATCAGCTATAATTGTCGTTCATTTAAAAGTTGATTCTTTCTCTGCGTAACCCTTTCTTTCTTGAGTTTATAGTTGAAGTGCAAGTGAGGGTTTCTACATCAACTCTGTCCATTGGCTGACGTACATCACCATAGAAATTTTCAATTAATACGCATGTCAAGCATACGATGAAATATGAATCAAGTGAGCTATAGAATTCAGCATTTATTTAGTTTCCAGGAGGCATCATTCCCTATACATAATTGGAGCGGTGTAGAACGCATTCCTGGTCTTGGAATTCTGAAGATCGAAACTCTCAAAATACTTTTCGGTTAGGATTTTGAAACCGTGTCAACTCTTGCAATGACCTCTAGCTATGGATCGAAAGGTCAACTTCGCGTAAGGTTTTGGAATGCCAGTCTTTTCTCTGTATTGCAATACTCCTTGCTCGTTGCTGACCACTGTCAGTTGTGGTTAAATAAGAAACAAGTTCGGGGAGCTCCTCCATGCCCAAACCAACGGGCACTTAGTGTACATAAGGCACAAGACGTCATCATGCCACTCTCGGAGGAGGGTCTGTTTCAGTGGTGTGAACCTTAGCGCTAGCAACTTGAGATACTGTCCGCTGTAACCGTTTCCATCGAGATCGAAAACGAGCCGTGAGCGGAACGCTTAGTACGAGTGATGGTTGCTTAGATGCGGTGGAGCAGCCTAGCAGGGTTTTACGACAACTGATCAGGACAAAACGGCAAGTATACACAACAGGAGAATAGCAAACTGACCCTGGTAGGCATGGTGGAGGTTTGATCAGAGAGGTCCATTGTGTGAGTTATGCTTGATCCCGCTAGTTGACTGCCCAGACAGGATTGTGGCCACAATGGGACCCATATTGAAGCATCTGCACTGCCAACAACTCTCCCATTATATCTGTATAAATCACGATAAAGATCATTAGAGCCTTGATCGATGAACAAGCTGGATAACTCTAGATTAAACGAAGTCCATCCGGTCCAACAGTAAGTAGTTTCAAAAGAAATCAGAGCCAAGATACCAACATAATTCAAACGACGAGCCCATCAAGGATGGGCGACTCAACTGTCTCTCTACTCAATCCATCCATTAATCCCATAGACCCGTTCCACCGCTCATATATTCTGAGTGAGAACAGCTGTTGGTGCCTATGTGGGCCGCGAGGCGGAGCAGCGCTGGCATGGCGCATATGGCAATTAATCTCGGGTCTCTCCGAGAGGTGACAATTTCTATGCAGTGGTATAGCCAAAGTGTCAAGTGGGTTTTGTGACTCAGCGCCCAGCGAATGGGGAACGTGCCGAGCTGCTCGGAGCTCTTGCTTGACTCGTTGGGAATTACGAACAAAATCAGAAGGACGTAACGAGCAGCGTGTAAAGAGTAGGGTGGATGATGCATGCGCATTGTATCATATAAGATGATGCTGGCAGAAGAGCGATGAACATTTTTGTCGTTGGAATCCCACACGTAACCGCAGTTGGGCATCGGAAGCTTGATTAGGTTAAGGCCAACCTGATCCTGCAGAATGGAGTGCGGACAGAGGTGCGTGTTCATTGACGTGCTAGTTGATCAAGCTTGGGAATTAGCTATGCGTTGCTTTACTGATCTGCTTGGGAGTGAAGAGGGAGACGAGAAAAGCTAGGGGGTGTTTCTAAGCTTGGAGTTTATAAAATTGGTCATAAGAGACTGATATCGGCTTGCATTTGCATAGCCTTGATGTTCCATAACAACCGAGGAAATTCCTAATGGAATAACAGAATCTCTGGATATTGTATCATATACAATAATTTCTCCAAGACTTCCAACCAATCAGATCTCTAGATTAATGGAAGGGTGGCCGAGTTGGTTATGGCGCCAGGTTAAGGTCAGCTTAACATCTGTTTCCTGGTGGGGCAACCCGCGCGAGTTCGAGTCTCGTCCCTTTCAATTTTTGTCTTTTTCCCACTCAGGTTGCTGAAATGTTGCTATGAACCTGACGATCCTACCTCCTCTTTCTTTTGCGGTGAAGGTTTGAACGGGGCGAGAGGAAATCATGCCTCCATACGATGCAGCAGCCGGGCCAAGGTCCTCAACGCGCATACAAAGAAAGTAGTGTACTCTCACATGGGGGTATCTGACGATGCGGGGCAATCCGCTATCTACTCTTGCTGACCAGGTATTATATATCCACGCCGCCTGCCAACCGTCCAACCTAACCAGTCTCCCTCCTCCGGGTCCAATCTTCCCAATTGCATCTCGATGTGTGCCTTTAAATCGTATACTGGAACCGCGGACTCTCGTCGCCCAGCTCCGCCAGCTCGTCATCCGAGAGGTCGGCGTACTTGCTCTCCATCCGACCGCTCTCCCGCCGCTTGTTCTCCCGCCAGTACCAGAACCACAGAAAGCCGTACATGCACGTTGCCATGCCGACCATGCTCAGCGTCACGGCGTGGCCGCGGATGTATCGCGGCCTGTCAATTGCTTGGCTACGTAGGTCTACCGTCAGCCTGTGCGTGGGAGTAGCATTCAGGGTGAGGGGACTTACTAGATAAAGGACGACATGACGCCAGAGCAATTGCCAATAGTGAGCTGCATCCCGCTCGCCGTCGTCCGCTTGCCGTATCTCGGCGAATTGTTCGGGAGCTGCCAAAACCACATCGTCAGTCCAGGGCCAAGGTCCACTCAAGCATCATAAAAAGAAAACCCACCCATGCCAGCGGCAGCCCGACAACGACGTAGAGCCCCGCCGCCACAAGGAAGCACCCAAAGTAATGCACCCCGTTCGACGTTGGCGAAATGAGCACGCCGTAGCCGACGACGCTGATGCTCCCAAACACGACGCAGAACAGGCCGCGCTTCTGCGTGCGGTCCGAGAGGAAGGCCATGGCCATGTACACCACGGCGCCGAGGAAGTAGCACGGCACAGTCAGCAGCTGTACCTGCGCCGCCGTCCACGTCCCGAGGCCGTTGATGATGGTCGGGAGGAAGGTCGAGAAGCCTGGCCGTCGTCAGTCAAATCAACATGCCGCCCACAAGCTCTACAAGTGTTCAATCTCTCTGAACATGAGCACTCACCGTAAAGCATCGTATCGGCACCAAACTGCGCGACACAAAACACCCACACCTTCCAGTCCATAAACGCCTTGACCATATCCTCCCGACTAAACTCCTGCGCGCTGCTCGTGTTCCCATACTCCCTCCCCCTCCTCCTCGCCAACACCTCCCTCTCCCCCTCGCTCAAAAAGTACGCGCTCCCCGCGTCGTTGGGTAGCGCAAAATACGTCACCACACCAAGCACGACCGTCGGCAAACCCTCAATGATCATGATCCACCGCCACCCGCTCAGCCCGGCCACGCCCTCCATGTGCCCGATCCCGTACGCCAACAACCCGCCCAGCCCGCCCGCGATGGCGGCGCTGACAAAGAGGTATCCCACGCGCAGGGCGAGCTCGTGCTTGCTGTAGAAGAAGGTGAGGTAGACGTTTAGACCCGGGAAGAGCCCGGCCTCGACGACGCCGAGGAGGAGGCGGCATGCGATGAGGGCGCCGTAGGAGTTGACTAGGCCTGTGAGGGTTGCGATGATGCCCCAGGAGACGGTGATGAAGGCGATCCAGCGGCGCGGGGTGAGGAGTTTGAGGACGAGGTTGGAGGGGACCTCGAAGACGATGTAAGTTACAAAGAGGATCGAGACGGCGACTTGGAATTGGTTGCCTTGGAGGTTGAGGTCGCGCTCGAGATTGTAGAGGCGAGCGTTGCCGATGTTGACGCTGTGGATGTCAGAAACGAGGAGGGGGGGTTAGGGGGGGGGGGGGGGGGGGGGCGGGTGCGCCGGCGGGGGGGCGGCGCGGCGCGCAGGGGCTGGGTGGCGAGCGAGAGTTGGAGGGTGGGGGGGTGGGGCGGGGGGTGGGGGGGGCGAATGGTTAGGTTTGGGAATGAGAGTTTCACGCTCCGGTAGAGAAAGCTAAACAGGAAGGGGGGCATCGCGGGGGGGACGATGTGGATGTTTAAGTGGCGGGCGATTTTGTACTGGGCAATGCTG